GCTCAACTGAATACACAACTATACCCACTCATCATACATCTGCTACATTGTCTTTTTGTACTTTTGATTAGTTGGTGGACGGACTGCTAACCTCACAGACATATTAGAGTAGGACTGTTGTATGCTACCATAGCCAGTTCTGTCTAATGCTGCTGTAAGTGAACCAATCAGAGTACATCTAGGCTATGTAGACAATCTGTGTGAATGTTGTAGTCATGCCACTTGATCGGTACAGTAGGGGACTTGCCGGACACAACTATTGCTAGAAAATTAGGTGCCGGTCAGATACATGTTGTGGTAGGATTCCACTAGGGGATTCTAGTGCAGATACTATCTGCCTAACTAATGAATGGGACAGACCCTGTTGATGATAGAGCGGACAATAGGAGACTAACACGTGCAGGGTACCGCACGTGTTCCAGGCCCTACAACCAGGAGAAGAAAGACGGCTTACAGCCGAACGTAGAGCACGTGCACTAGGGCCACAGCAAACGCCGCAGCTAGGGAACAGGCGGCCGCAGCAGCCAGGGCATTAGAGATGTCTTCTGCAGCAGCAGCATCCTCGATTGTGTCTTCATCTGCGACCAATGGGACCATGTTGGGAATGCCAACAAGTTTCACGGGCACTTCCAATTTAATGGGTTCTCGACAGTCCACTAGTCAAATGGCGGGCTCGCAGTTCAGCCCGTTGACCCCACGTGAGAGGGAGCTCAGAGAGATCCAACAGGTCGAGAGGCTCCGCCAGAAGTTAGAGGAGGACATGAAAAAGGCAACTGAGAGGGAAAGAGAGGTAAAAAATAGAGCATCCAGGCTTTGATACTTTAGAGGCTGACAAGGCTGAGTTAGAGGGCTTGGACGAGTCAGCATTGACTGACCGAATGAAAGTACTGAAGAAGAATATGTTGTCGCTGCATGCGCACGTGGACAGCAGATTAGACTTCATGCAGAGCACTCTAGACCAGATCCTGGATGTATTGACAAGGCCAGGATACAAGCCACCAGCACAATCGCCGTTGCCGTTATCGACGATGTCAGGCCCCTTTCCAGTTCAAGCTGGCACACAGCCAAGTGGTACGTTTGCAGCAGTCGCACAGACTGTTGCATCTTCTTCTTCGGGTCCAGCGGTGGGAGCTACACCACCGCAACAACCTGTTCCTCAACAGGGACAGCAGCAAGGTCAATGGTACCCCAAGACCCCAATGAAACCGCCTCTTGCCTTCTCAGGCGAGAGGAAGGACGAAGAACTCAACACATGGTTGAGGACAGTCCCGGTTTGGGTAAACGCCAAGAGGACCTTGTTAGAGGACGAAGTGGTAACCGCTGCATCTTACCTCGAGGGTAAGGCAGCCAAGTGGCTAGATGGGGTAGTTGTAAAGGCTGGGTATGGGCGACGCATGGCGGACTAGGCTAAGTCTCTGACGTTAGACCAGTTCATGGAAATGGTAGAAGCTCGATGGCATAATCCACAGGAGGCACAAAGAGCCACTGATGCGATTAGCAAGCTGGACCAACGAAAGTTCAAGTCGGTCAGAGAGCTTACGACTACCGTTGAGAGCCTGATCCTCGTCTCAGGCATCAACTACAGTGACCAGTTCCTGTTAACTACGTTTGTTAGATGTTTACCAGAGAACATCAGGAACTTACTGGCCAGTGAGGCACGCACTGAGTACCATTCGTTTCAGACACTGCCTAGGAAAGCCTTAGATTTAGAGGCCACACTAGGCAATGCTCAACCAACCTCTCAGATTGACACGAGGAAGAAGAAGAGTCGTCAGGAGTGGAAGAAGAAGGGGGCTAAGTTGATGATGGTTGAGTCCGATGGGACTCAAACGGAGATCAACGAGCTCACTGACCTGATGGACTATACAGAGTTTGACGGCGAGGAGCTAGCTGAGGGTAGCACCCTCGCCGCGGTAGTCAAGACTAAGGCAGGTGGCCGAGGGAAGGGCCAACCTAGGAGTCAAGGAAAGGCGGCCTCCAATCAGACCAAGCAGGCTGAATGGGTGAAGGCAGGTCTTGACCAAGACGTGTGGCGTGACCGCCGAGTGCGTGGCGCTTGTGTCAATTGCGGGGAATACGGACACTCGCAATACAAGTGCCAGAACGCAAAGGTTACGCAAAAGATACCTCCAGAGATGAGGGCATCTTATTCCCAGGCTTCAAGCTCGGGAAATGCGTGAGGCCAGTGGAAGTATTAGCTGCTTCTACTCAAGATGAAGTGGGCTTGATACCCTCCTCACTCCATGACAAGGCCGAAGCTAATAACTCCTTAGTCACCCCGCAGACACATCTAGACCAAACTATGCTCTGTACGTTAGATGTGTCTGAAGCCTTAGAAGACTTAGAAGGCGAATGGTCAAACAAGGACCCTCGCGAGTCTTGGGTGGCGCTGAAGAAAGGTCCTAGAGGGGAACATTTCGTAGTGGAATTGGACGTAGGAGGCCGCAAATGTGGTGCCTTCATAGACATCGGATCCACGCGGAATTACATAAGTTGCGACTGTTTGGAAAGGCTGCACCTACAGGACCGGGTACGGCACCTTAGTAGACCTGTAGCATTGACTTTGGCCAACAAGGAGCGCATGATCGTAACAGACTACATCAAGGACGTAGTCTGTACCTTCTCCTATGGAGGAGGCGAACTTAACCATAAGATCTCGTTCTTGGTTAGCGACGACTTACCATTCGACATGTTATTAGGCATGTACTACCTCGAAGTTGCTAAGCCCCAGTTTGACAGGGATAAGAAGGTGCTCAAGCATAAGTTGCCCGATGGCCGAACTGTCAGATTGACTAAGTTCAAGGCTAGTAGCATTATAGATACCTATGGCTGCTTGTGCGCATCGGCGTTCTACAATTATTACAAGCAAAGCGAAGAGGAGGGTATGTACCTTGTGTATGTCTCTGAGAAAGGGGAGGCCGTTAAAACACCCCCAGAGATAGAATGCGTCGTTGCTAAGTTCCCTGATCTGTTCGAGGAGCCCACAGGAGTTGTTGAAAGGGAAGTCGTCCACGCTATAGAAATCATTCCAAGGAGTAAGACCCCAAAGGGAAGGATCTATAGGATGGCCCCCGCCGAGCTAGATGAACTTCGGCGACAACTTAAGGAGCTGACAGAGAAGGGATGGATTCGGCCTAGTACTTCCCCTTACGGATCACCCGTTCTACTCGTACCAAAGAAGGGGGGTACATTGAGGATGTGCATTGACTATAGAGGCATCGATGCCATCATTGTGAAGAACGCAAAGCCTCTACCTCGCATAGACGACCTATTGGATAGGGTGCAAGGATGCAAGTACTATAGTAAGATAGACTTGAAATCCGGATATCATCAAATCGCAATAAGACCTGAGGACCAACACAAGACAGCCTTTCAGACCAGATACGGTCTGTATGAGTTTGTAGCGATGCCCTTTGGTCTTTGCAATGCGCCGGGTACATTCCAGCACGCTATGAATCGGATTTTCCATGACCATTTAGATAAGTTTGTCGTGGTATACTTAGACGACATTCTGATCTTTAGTAAGTCTGCCGAGGAGCACGCACAACATGTTGAGAAGGTACTCTCACTCCTGCGACAACACAAGTATAAGGTCAACTTAGAGAAGTGCGAGTTTGGCCGCACTAAGATACTATACTTGGGTCATGAAGTATCCGCTGAGGGGATAAGGCCGGAAGATGCGAAGGTGGCTAGTATTCGAGACTAGCCACGACCTCAGACAATCACTGAGGTTAAATCATTCTTAGGAAGCCATTCACAAGTATAAGGTCAACTTAGAGAAGTGCGGCTACTATAGGAACTTCGTTAAGAACTATTCTACAGTCGCCTCTCCTTTGACTGATCTAACTCAACTTGGCACGCCGTGGGACTGGAGTGATGAGTGCAAGGGTGCTTTCAAGAGATTGAAGCATGCACTCATGAATCATGAGGTCCTCATGGTTCCCGATCCGCAGAAGCCATTCACAGTGACCACTGACGCAAGCCAATACGACATTGGCGCAGTGCTGGCTCAACAGGATGG